TTTTTTGCTGCTCTTTTCTAATTGTTGGAGATGTTGGATTAAGGTGTTGATTTTGGCTCTTTCTTCTTTTTTGATGTGTGCATCGATTGCTATAAATTGGCCTCTGATCACTGCTTTTGCTGTGGCCCAAAGATTTTGGTATGTTGTGTTTTCATTCTCATTTGATTCATGGAATTTTTTAATTTTTTATTTCTTCTATTATCCAGTCATTTTCAAGGAGAGTGTTATTCTGTTTCCATGTGTTTGATCTTTTGCCATTGATCTTCCTATTGGATTTGTAATTTTATAGCATTGTGATCTGAGAAGATGCTGTGCAGTATTTCAATGTTTTTAAATTTATTAAGGCTTGTGTTATGGCCTAACACATGGTCCATCCTTGAGAATGTTCCATGTGCACTGGAAAAGAATGTATATTGTGCTGTTGTTTGATGAAGTGCTCTGTGGATGTCTATAAGGTCAAGTTGGTGGACTGTACTGTGCAGTTCTTCTGGGTCTTTGTTGAGTTTCTTTCCAGTTTTTCTATCTTTCATTGAAAGTGGTGTAGAAAAGTCTCCACAGTCATAGTAGGAGAATTTAATACACCACTTTCAATGAAAGAACAACTGGATGTCATTATATAATGTCCTTCCTTGTCTCTTATGGTGATTTCTGTCTTAAAGTCAATTTTATCAGAAATCAATATTGCCACTCCTGCTCTTTTATGATTGCTCTTTGCTTGATAAATCTTTTTCCAATCTTTGATTTTTAGTCTATTTGTGTCTTTCTCTCTAAGGTGTGTCTCTTGTTGCAGCATAGAAAATTACATAATATGGCTTTTCTAGCCATAAATCTTTGTAAACACCATGCTGGAATTTGCCATGAGTGACTGAGTAGCTCCTGATTGCTAAAGTTATCCACCTGGGTATTTCTGTTGAACCAGCACAAAGCAATCTTCTGGAAAGTTTGCACTCCCTCAGGTGTATAAAATTCTGATGTTGGGATTGGTTAGTAGTCACTCTGCCAGGCTCAAAAGGAGCCTTTCTAGAAGCAGAAGGAGTCTCTCTGACTGCTGGCTGAGAAGGACGTGCTGCTGAGAGAAACACACTCCTGAGAGACATGAGAGACACATGCTGCTGAGAGACACGAGAGACTCACACAGCTGAAAGACATGAGAGACACACACTCCTGAGAGAGCAATGTGCTACTGAGACTGCCAGCTGCTAAGTGAGACAGCCAGCTGTGAGAGACTGAGTGCATTTCTGAACTTGAATTGTGACCTGTTGCTTCCCTAATAAACCTCATAATCTGTGACTTCTCTGTGGCCACTGCAGTGAATTATTGAACCCAGAAGAGAGTTGGTGGGTGCTACAGGAAGAATAGTTGGTGAAAGAGCTGGAGGGAGGCGGCATGTCTGGCCTCGCAGGCATAGGCCTTGGGCTACTGATGGTGATTCTATCTTCCTATTGTGGGGTTAGAGGAGGTCAGAAGATGCAGCCTCCTGGTCCCTTTGGCACTTGTAGACAGTATATTGATGGGTATGCTTTCTTATCCAGCATGCAACTCTCCATCTCTTGAGTGCTGCATTTAATCTATTGACATTCAGTGTAATTATCAACAAGTGTGAATTTGTTGTTGTCATTTTGTTATGTTTTTCCGTGGTGTTACTGATTTCTTTGTTCCACATAATTTTCTCTGCTGAGCTTGTTATGTTTATGAATCGGGTTATCATTTCCTTTGTTGCTACTGTTTGAGTATTTGCTAAATATTCGTGTTTGTCCTCTTTTTTATTCTGATGTGAAGATTTGTCATTTTTCTTTGAGATCACCTTGTGATTTGTAATTTTCTTCCCAAGTTTAGAACAGTATTTTCTATCTTACAATTGTCTTGACTTCCTCATCATTTACAAATTCTATTACTACCCAATTTTTTCCCTCTTTTGGGTTTGTAGTTGTCCTCATTTACCAATTTATGTCTCTGGTTCCCTGTTTACAACCTTGTAGGCTTATTTACTTTGGATTCTTTCAAAACTGGGTTGGTTTCTGGGTTATGTCATCATGTGTGTTAATGGTTGGTTGTTCTTTTCTGTTGCTGGTTCTTTGTCCAAAGGACTCTCTTTAGCATCTCTTGTAAGGTTGGTCTGGTTTTAACAAATTCCCTTAATTTCTGCTTATCTGGAAACATCCTCACCATCATATTTGAGGGACAATTTTGCTGGGTATATAATTCTTGGTTGGAATTTTTTTTCTTTCAGGGTTTTATATGTACTATCCCAATATCTTCTCACCTGCATGGTTTCTGCTGGGAAATCAGAGCTTAGTGTTATTGGCTAGTGTGGTGAAATAAATTACCTGGAATGGCTTTTCTAGCCATAAGTCTTTGTAAACTCCAAGGTGGAATTTGCCATGAGCAACTGAGGAATTCCTGATTGCTAAAGTTATCCACCTGGGGTATTTCTATTGAGAGTGGCACAAAGCAATGTTCTAGGAAGTTCGCTGTCTCTCAGGTGCTTAGAATTCTGATCTTATGATTGGCTAGTTTGGCCACTCTGCCAGACTCAAAAGGAGGTGTCCTTGTGGCAGAAGTCTCCCTCTGACTGGTAGCTGAGAACGACATCCTGCTAAGAGAAAGGCACTCCCAAAAGAAACATGCTCTTGAGAGACACACACTCTTGAGAGACACATGCTGCTGGGAAAGAGATGCAAGAGACACACATTGCTGAGAGAGACACCGAGAGACATGCATTGCTGAGAGACAGTTGGCTGAGAGAGACTGAGCATTTTTCCTGAACTTGAATTGTAGCCTGGTGCTTCC